AATGACTGACTTAATGGAGTTTATGAGTTTATTTATAAGATTATCTCGATAGATATGAACTTTATCTAAAATCGAAAGAAACCCTTTTGTAGAGAATTTAATTTTCTACAAGCTTGTTTTCATGATTTTTTGTCCGAATTTAAATACCGTAACAAATATTTCAAAAAACTATAATTTTATCGAAAAATCTTCAATTGAAAAACTTCGATTGCCCGTCGGCACGTGTTCTTTTCGTTTAAAATCAAAAAGCAAAATTTTTCCCGTAGTTTCTCGTCCTACGGAAGGATTTTTTTGGGCGCCGCAAAAAATTTAATTTTTAACGACCACCCTAGTATCCATGGGTTATTAGTTTGTAGAACTTTACTTGCACTACCGTAATTAATCAAAAGTAAACATTAAAAATCAAAATATCATTTTTTTTAAATTATTTGATTTTGCATAATTTTAATACAAAAAATTGGCGACCATTGAACATTCTTAAAAACTGAAACTAATTTAACAAGCTTCCGTACTCCAAGCTAATCATCGGTCTAAAACCGCTTGATTCCTGCAATTATCGATTACCGGTGTACGGATAAGTTCGCTCAAAGTTGAAGTAGAACCCCTAAATGAGCAACTTGGTCCGTAGAATAATTCTTCCAGTTCACTGTTCCACTAAAAATAAATATTTTCCACCAATTAATGCTACTTTTGTCACTGTAAGCTTCCTTCTGTGAACCAATTACACAGTAAAAAATTTTGCGTCATTGCGTCAAAAAATTTTGTGTTAAAAATTTTTGTGTTAAATATTTAACACTTTTATGTGTAAATTTAACATTTATTGTGTTAAATTAACACAGAAAAGTGTTAAATTAACACAAAAAAGTGTTAAATATTTAACACAAAAATTTTTAACACCAAATTTTTTGATGCAATGACGCAAAATTTTTTATTGTGATAGTTGTAATTAAATATCCAAACATCAAAACGTAAGATAATTTACCTAATAATGTTATACGCTGAAATTATGCGACCATGGGTATTTTATATGCTTGAATCATTATAAAAGCGCATCTGAGTATTATTTCCATTTAACATTGATGCTCCATTGTTCATGCTTTTCAACGGTGATATATTTTTTTTATGATATTGCAAAATTATTATCATGTAAGTTATAGTAGTTTGTATAATCTAGACCGAAATGAGTAAAAATAATTTATCAACATTCATACTAGTTTCAAATACTTATCAGTCGTCATAAATCCTTACCGAAGTTAAGAGACTGTTATCAAGTGGTATCACCCCACATGAAGTGATAGAAGCGTCTCGATGCAATAACTCAATAGAAAATTGCTCCAGCTGTTGAATAATAAATGTGATTATGATTAATTATGTTTTTGCAATTTAAAAAGTAATAGCTATGATGTTAATAAATAATTTGTTACTTCGTATTTGATTCCTTTGTTGTAAGCATGTATGGTCAGTATTTTGTATACAGTATCGCTGGTTTCTTCTATCTGTATTCGGTAAATATAAAAAGTTATTACAATGTTTAAATCAATGATGAAAATTCATAAAGAAGATAAGTAAGAGATTGTAAAAATTCATTAAAATCAACACAACATGTATTGTGGTAAAATTTGAGGAAAAAATATGCCGAATTCGCTATAACTTTGAGGATCTCATGCACAATACCATAAGACTCTATTAAAAACTTTAGAACTCTTTAGAGATTCCAGTAATGAATGGAACGTTACAAAATGGACGGAAGGTTCACTTAAAAGTTATGAGTGGGATATGATATTGCTTGGAATTGTTTTCTACCGCAATTTACTTTTTCGTTAATAACATCAGAAGGGTTTTCGTTGTTTCTTATTTCTCATGATTTTAATTTTATTCAAAAAAGTGATACCATTTTTTTAGTCAGAAAAATTTTCTAAATTTAGTGTAAAAAAGAAATGAATTTTTTTTCTGTCATTAGATTGATGGTAAACTAAAATAGTCGTATATGCATGTATCCGAAAATTTGACATATATAATCTAATATTATTTGATTTGTTCATATATAATTTCTCATATCCCAATCTATGACTGAATATGAAAATTGGTTCGATTAGGATGTATCTGACACGATATGTCCTGATTTGAAGAGGGCGCATGATCACTGAATCGTTTCCCTACAAAAGAGCTTAGTTTGAAAAATAAATCATTTTTGTTACTCTCTTAAACAGGTTATCTGACATTTGTTTTTAGTTTAATGAACTACTAAACCAATTTTTGTTTAATAAAATATTTTGATTGACAAATAAATTTCGATAGAAAATAAAAAATTGATTTATGATAAATAATGTTTTTAATCTCAGATCTAGTTTGATATGACCTTATCAGGCTATATATGAATAATAGTCATATATGGTCGTATCAAAAATTTTTTTTTACGGTATCTCTTTTTTACCAAGAGAAAAATAAGAAATTTTAAAGTTACCTCATTAATTATTTTCGTAACACAACAAGTCAGTGTTACAATCGGTATCATAGTTTTTATAACCCACAACGCCAAATTGATTGAAACTAATATGTTTGTCTCAGATTGTGTTATGTTTTGAAATAACTCATATGAACTATAAATGATACCAGCAGCAAAGTACGTGATTGATAGCAACATAGGCCAAGAATAGCAACTTGAAAAATCATCTGATATTTCATAGAGATTTCTCTGAGCGTCTCGAATATAACGAATCAATTTGACAACATTGTCTTCGTATGAATCACTCATGATTCTAAAAAATTTCTGACATCTTGATTCATTGCAGTTTGTATCAACCAATGAAAGAAGTAACTTATTTAATCCTTTAAATCTGTTTTCAAGGAATATTAATATTAGTGCATATTGGATGACTAAATTTCCAATTACAAATTCAGGAATTATAAAAAGTATAGTATCAAGAGCTGTAATAGATTTCGACTCTGCAATAAATTCAGTTAGGATGTTCAAAACTGTAGCCGACAAATGCGTTGCAAATATGATAACTAATAACGATTTTCCAGATAGAAGATTTTTTGTGTTGTACAATGTGTCAGTTAATTCTTTTTCAAATTGGAACAATCGGTTGATAACTTTGATGAACACTCTCTGTTTTACGATACAAAATAGCACAGTTATTATAAATGTTCCATGAGAAGTAACTCCGAAAAAAAATTCTCTCCATGCTTCCATTTGCGTTTCGGTATCACTCGACTCGGTTTTCTTGCGAACTTCGGGTAACCAAAAGTATAGAGTTGGTATGGACGTCAACGTCAAAACTAAATTGTACATTAACCCTAGTAGGGAATATGAAGTCTGACCCAAAAATTGCTGCCCTTTTAACTTACTTTGCAGATTAGGTAAAATAGTAAGCTTATAAGGTGCGAGTCCAATAACTTTAAAGAATTTAACCACTAGAATAAACAATAGAAAATTGTTATTAAAATTTTTCATCATCTTCAAAAAATACCATACACTCGATCATCACCGACAATTTTCAGTTCTAAACTGATTATCATTTCTCGTAAATACTACAATATAAATTCAAATTATGTCTGTCATTTGAATACATATTTACTAACTTACCCTTTTTCAGCTCATATTGAAATTTTATCTAGACTCGTAATTTCATTAAAATAAAAGCAAGAAAACAGGGAAATGAATACGACTTTATTTGATTAAACTTGATGGGAAATAACTTTGAGTAATGAATTTCACTGAGCGGCAGAATCTATTGATTATTCATTACATTATTCTGTGTATAAAAAAATAAAATAATTTAATTTTGTTGATTTTTGTGAATAATTTATAATACTAAAAGGTTATTTGATACTTATAAAAATTTTCACCATTAAAACTTTTGTTCGATTTTTTGTCAAGCATTAAAACTTAGAGACAACGGTGCGATGTCTCAGATATCCGAAAATCATTAAAAAGTACACTCTACATAAAACTAATGAGCTGCGCCTACAGATACTTGACTTTACTTTGTCTTTACTTTTTTACTTTTTACAGGTGGTGTATTCGTCGTACTTCTTTGTGGCCTTGCACTCGCTATTCTGGTTGCTATTCTTGAGTTTTGCTGGAACTCCAAAAAAAATACTCAGTCAGATCGGGTAAGTTTTTCTTCTATTACTTTTAAATACTAATGGGTAATTAAAATTACTAATTAGCAGAGGTTAAAAAGTATCTACAGAGATATAAGGATTTGAAGGAAAGTGAACTTCTTACGCGAATTATTTTATTACCTTAAAAAAAAAAATATAGGTCTCTTTAGGAAAGGATAATTTTTTTTTTTTTTTAATTAATTTTCATTTAGAGTCGGTTTTAACTGCTGTGGTCATATCGCCGACTTTAACTGTTGGGAGTGGTACATTGGGGTCTTTTGGGTTGTGAGAATCTTAACCTACGCGGCATGGGTCAAATCTCAACCAAGCTGGTTTCTACGACCAACTTGGGATTCGAACCCACGCTTGGCCGGTGAGTTAGTTCGAGTGCTCTATAGGCCGTGGGCCTTTGACCACTCGGCTAACATTTCTGGTTTATAAAAGGATAACATTAAATACTTCTTGATTTTTTTTTCAACTATTTATTTTCAATCGTTTTCACATGCAACATTACTGCACACTATTGCTTAGCGGAATTTTCTTTGGAGTTTCAATCATATAAACTATTTTATAAAAAATCCTATAAATATAAAATTTTATGGCTCTAAACATAGGAATCTATAAATATTATAAGTTTCAACACTTAAAAAAATTGACAATAATATTAATTATCACCCAAAAATATTACAGAGGTATTCGGGTCTAGAATTCTGAGATAATCGATTTTTTTGCACTTTTTCAAAGTTTCAAATTTTAGTGACCTAAAACCCAATTGATCTGGACAGAGCCCAAAACTATAAACGCATTTTCTCGAAATTATTTCTTTTCAGAGGGTATAGACATCACTTCTCAAATTTTACGAAACCGGTTTATAAAAATATTTCAATTTTTTTTTCTTTTTTTTAATTTGTAACTATATAAATAGAATCTTTACTGATTAAAACTCGACCTTTTTTTTTATTCAGGATGACTGAAAAAGTCAGAATCATGTCAAATACACCTCAACATTTTTTTCGAGGCCTCCCATTTCACGAGCTTGTAACTTTGTAGATTTTTAATAATTATAGTTACAAAAAATATTATATATAATATTATAATATTAATTAAAACTTTTAGTAAAGATTCTTCAACATTAAGTTGTTATGATATATCTTAATACTTTAAGTATGAATATCGAACGTCTTCTGTATCATAACTTTATCTAAAGACTAATAAGCTTCCAAACTTGCAAAGCCGAATTTGAATACCCTTTTACATGATATTAATATATATTAGTTACTACATCTATGCAATATTTCAACCGTAAACACCCTACATGATTGAAACATCAAAGATTATTATATCTATTATTATAGAGAGATTATTATTAGAAAAAGAATATTATATCTAAGCTGCTCCACTTATGTATATTAATTTGCAATTTATTTTAAAATTTATCAACAATACATTGTTTGAACTTATAAATAATTGCTTGAGGAATGGAAATTTTTTCTAATCGCATCAATTTATAATGTTTGTTTTTGCACGCTGATTAATTGTCTAGCCGCATAGTCTGTCAATGTTTATTTATTTGTTTATTTTTTTTTTGTTATGGTTATGATAAACTTGCATCAATGGCAATCACCGTTTTTGTATTGTGATATACAATTTGGACCATCTCTGTATACTAATGGGGCAATACTACTGGAAAACTATTCTGGAAAACTTGAAACAATGCTCAAACAACGTGACCGCAACTGCTATGAATGTTTCATCCTCACTCTTCTTACATTGATCATAACGCCACATGTCTGGTACTTTCCACTGATCTCTTGATATCTTTGTTCGCTACGTGATTCAACCCTCTAAACTCCTGCATCCAAACTCCTATGTATCCAATATTTGTTTGCATGAAATGGTCATGTGACTTATCATCTGACCAACTCGTAAAACAGTCTCTCTGTGCTGAAATGGCATCCGAATTGCGGTTTGCATTGCGGTGTGGTTCACAACAGCGACCAGTTACAAAGAGTCGAGATCACGGAAGTTTGGACCCTACTTCTTGTACACGATGCAGCCCACAGCCATCATTTATGCGGAGTCGACGATGTTTCAGCCACCAAGAAACTACTTATATACCAACCATTGAAATACCTCGATTAAACGGTGTAAGTTCGTAATGCACGACGAGCATCGTCTATTTAATACATCTTTACGTTAACAATAACTGAGGGGAAGAAATTTCCTCATTAAAAATCACCATTATTGTTAAGCTCTCATTACAGTCAAGCCCTATCGATTTGCTAATTAACGATATTGATTAGTTGACGATGGAATGACGTGATGACTAAAGTTTTAGTTGAATGGCGATGCTCGAAATTCAACTGTTAGTTTTGTAGAACGCTTTCAGACAGTGGTTTTGGCCTTTATTTGGGTACAGCTAGACAGCGCACGTCAATCATCCGAAGAATATGATATATATTTGTGTTTTCCTGTAATGTATCCGTCAATGTCGTAACTTTATTGTCCTAGAATTCTCATATATCATTTTGTGTATCTCAATGTTCTACATAAACAGTTTTTAAACTGCTGAACATTGTATTGCATTTAATTTATCATCTATATGTGACGGAGTTGTATATTAAATTTAAAGCTTTTATTGCTCGGCTGATTCAGAATTTATTCTTTAATAATTCATTGCTTCTTTTTGTATTTTTTTAACACCACATAATTAAGTTGTGCCTAAGACATTAAATATACATTGATTTATTTTATCGTACATATCATTGAATTAACGGGATTTAGTCACAATTAATTACTTGAAGAATACACGTTTTCTTAATTTTTATTTTTGTGAACAAATGTTATTCATATACTAGAAGATAAGTGAACACCCCATCAAAAAATAATTTCCTTAAAAGAGAGTTCAGTTGGAAGGGTTAATTTGTAAGATAATAATAATTTCTTTTCACTCCTTTTAAAAGCTTAACTGACATTGATTTTCGATTTAATCAATTACTAAACCAACTTTTTGATTAATACGACATATTGATTGACGTAAACATTTCTGGAAAAAATAAGAAATTGAAAAGTTATGATAAATTATTTTTTCATTTTTATATATAGCCTGATATACTATTAAATGGTCATGTGGCCATGTGGTCATACCAGGGCATATATTACAATTTTTTCACGATATAATCATACCACACTTTCTAATATAAACATATCAGGCCATATCAAAAAATTTTTTCACCGGGTATTCCTAAGACCAATAAACCTATCGGTACGAAAATCAAAGTTGCTTATAATTATAATTTTTAAGTTGGATTTAAAATTTTTAACCGAACGAAAAAATAGTATTGTTAAATGGCAATTGCATAATACCACCGCGTGGTCGAAGACAGCACTACTCAAAATGAGTCATGTATTCTTTTGGCAGTGCCGTATTCGCCTCGGATGTTTAAATTTTACTACTGAAAGCGGGTCATACTAATATACACAATGTTCTTGTAGTGTAATATACTATTCATTCTTATTTCATGGAAAAATTGGTATTTAATATAAATTATAGAAAAAGTCTTAATATAGAGTTATACACGGAAAGAAAAGTATATACACTATTCCCATAATTTTATGAAATTTTTTCCCATAGTTGTAGAAATATTTCCCATAATTTATAGGAACGGTTCCAATACTACTACGGAAATGATTCGCATAATATTAATAATGAACCCTTTACATTATTATAGGAATCATTTCCATGAACTATTGGAACTATCCTATTCTTATAATGGTATGGAAACTATTCCTATACTTTTATGGGAACTGTTCCCATACTATTAACGGAATCATTCCCATAATGTATCAAGAAAAGTTTCTATAATTTTCTTTCCGCGTAATAGTTATTAAAAGTTGAAAACAAAAGCTTTGATTAAATTTTATTTTTATACTTTATCAGTTTTATACCACTCGGTCTAACTTTCTCAACTGTATTTCAACAATTTTCTCATTGAGTAGACTCTATACATATAATTCAATCTCATAAAAAATAAAAAAAAATTTTAAAAACTCTCTTACTTCGTACGGCACGAAATCGTATAATATCCACTAAATAAATCCTTTAAAGTAAACTTTCACACTTTTCCGCTATTTTTTTTTACACTCACGCTATTTTACCGTAATAAAAAAAAACAAAAAAAAAACAAAATTTATTCACCAAGCCTCGTACCAGTAGAACAAAAAGTAACCGCAAAAAACGTAACTGAATAACGTAAGTGAAAAAAAAACTAAAATGGCACTTACTTCGTAATGTCTAACATAGATTTTGTGAAAATATCTACAGCAGGAAGCTGGTGCGCTGCCGATGACGGAGATGAAGAAATCATTGAGCTTCGATCATGTGGGGACGTGCCATGGCGGAAACACCTAACAGAGGCTGAATCTCCACCACCTACAAAACCAGTTGCACCAGACACCACCACCACCGTCAGTGTGCAAAGCCACCCCCGCATACATACGTCCTTGCCACTCTCATACTCACAGTCACAGTCACTCGCACAAACATCAGCATCAAACGCTGAAACAGAAACGGACTTGTCCGAGTATCAGCATGGGTCAAGGTTCAATTATTCATTTTTTATTCATAGTTCTATTCATAATGATGAAAAAAAAATTAAAAAAAATAGTTTCTTTATGCGTCTGTAAAGAGCTCATTTACGGAATTTCACTTCTTTAGAGCTAGTTGGATTGTTAATTTTTAATGAAGATAGCTTAGTGCATGATAAAAGTTATATTTCACTTTAATTTTTAGTATCACATTCACACGAATGTCACAAGTTACAAAATTGTACGTAGTGTTTCAATTTTATTTAATAATTTTTGTTTCCATTAAACAATTTCTTCATTGTCAAAAAAAAAATAAAATAAGGAAAGATTTTTAGTTTATTTATTTTTTTTTTTTTGAAGAATTTTGAAGTAAAAAAAAATTACATAAGAGAAAGTATTTTTTACAATTCTTCAAACTTTGTACTTAAAAAAATAAATAATTCGTTTATTTTTTTAACGATTGTAAAAAATAGAAAATCTAGTTATAAAGTCACAAGTATTGTAGACTTTTAGTGTAGGCATTAGGAGATCTGGAAAATTTTCAGTGAAACGTTTCTACATTCAGATAGGGTAAAAGCTTGAGAAAATATTCTGTGCTAAAGTTCAAGCTATTTATTCTAGATAATAGAGTCATTCGAACCTCAAGAATCGGCGTAGCATTAGTTTCGGTTAATATATCTTGTTTTATCTCTATAAAATCATCTCACGGCGTTTAAGCAAATAAATTACGCATTATAAAAGATACGATGTCTCAAAAAGATTATAAAAAAGTAACAATTTGTCACGACAAAACGCTTAAACTTTAAAAAATTATGTATCCAACTCTTTCTTATATATAAAGCTGACATTTACCGATGCTTCTGTACGTTTTATATAGCTCTGTCAAGTTAAGATTGATTTTCTTTTATATTAAGTAAAATTTTTGAATTCTTAACACCTGACTCTAAAATGTGATATTTTGTCAAAGTCAGTACAGTGAACTATTCCATTATCATAATAGAATAATTTTTTTCTTTTTATATTTAAAACAATGTAAAAAATGTTCATTTATAAAATGAATGAAAAAAAAAAAAAAAAAAAAAAAAAAACGGAGTTAAAAACTTCTTTTTAGAGGAGGATATAGATATAACTTGTAAACTAAAAAATGTAAATTCATTGTAGCTATCGCATTAACGCTACTTAGCAGTAATTTTGCTGTTTATTTATTTTCTTAATTAGAACGTTAATTAGTTCTTAATTTAATTCGTTCGAATTACAATTATTATTCTTTTAGTATTTAGTGTCGTAACATACAATTTTAAATCTGCTACAAAAAACAAAATAGAAAAAACTGAATAAATTAATTTTTCGATATTTTATGATTTGAGATCAGTGAAGCTAATACAGTAAAAAATTTTTCGTCGTTGTGTTAAGTGAAAAACTTTTTAAGTAGAATATTTCAAATTTTAGTGTATTGATTACACACACTCGTTTGTGTTGTTCTTTGATACTTAAGTAACACTTTTTATATGTTACTTCAACACAGAGCTGTTACTTCCAACATAAAGCTGTATTACTTTATCGTTGCATACGGATTGCGATAAGTTAACCCTAATTTTGTGTAAAAAAATTCATCAACACAAATTTTTGTGTTGAATTTGACGAAAAATTTTTTTTCTGTGTATGCCACTACCGTTGAAGTGGGTGCAATTACTTTTTACATCCGAAAAGCTGATATAGTCAAAATTTAGTTTAATATTATGATCAGTGATATCTTACTGCGAATAGATAATACAACGGCCATTGCTTACATTAACCGTATGGGAGGTACGCAGTTTGAACGGTTAAGTAAGATCGCAAAATTAATTTGGAAGTGGTGTGAAGAGAGAAATCTTTGGATTTTCGCTTCATATATCCCGTCCAAAGAGAATGAAGTCGCAGATTTCGAATCAAGGAAATTAGAGCCGGAAACAGAGTTCGAGTTGAATCAATCAGCCTTTACAAAAATTTGTAAAACGCTAGGAACTCATGAAATTGATTTATTCGCAAGTCGAGTAAATACAAAGTGCGAAAAATACTGCTCGTGGAAAAGAGACCCAGGGGCACTGTGGGTTGATGCTTTCACTGTTAATTGGTCTCCCTGGTTCTTTTATGCATTTCCTCCATTTACTTTAATTCCAAAGATATTAAAGAAAATTGTTAATGAGAGAGCTAGAGGTATCCTAGTGGTTCCTAACTGGCCCTCTCAGAGCTAGTACCCTCGCTGTATGGAAATGTTCGAATCACCTCCTATTATCTTTAAGCCAAATATTAATATATTTTCTTCTGACAGAAAACCACATCCGCTTTGGCACCAGATTTCCCTGGTGGCAGGAATATCATCCAGCTGGCATATGCGAAAAAAGGGATGCCAGAAGAGGCAATAAAAATTGCGTTGGCTTCATTGTCGGACTCATCTCTTCATCAGTATGAAGGACCACTAAAACGATGGTGGAAATTCTGTCATTTAACGGACACTGATGTATTTAAAGCAACAATCCCGGACGTACTAAGATTTTTGGCAGGCGAATTTGATAAAGGATCAGCTTACGGTACGCTTAACTCTACAAGACCAGCTGTAGCTCTGATCTTGGGGCCAGTGATTGGACAAGACGCTCAGGTAAAAAGATTTTGCAAAGGTGCATCAAGGCTAAGACCATCTCAACCCAAATACGACGCAACATGGGATCCTCAAATTGTGCTAAACTTTCTGGGAAAATGGTTTCCTTATGATAAGGTCCCATTAGATCAATTGTCTCTGAAGACAGTCACTCTTCTAGCTCTTGCTACAGGGTATAGGATGCAGACTCTAGCGGCTATCGATATAAGAAATATCGAAAAATCTGAGGACCGCGTCGTGATTAAGATTCCGGCCGAAATAAAGACTTCCGGAAAGAATAAGAAACAACCAACACTGGTGTTACCCGTTTTTAAAGAAAATCCTTCTATTTGTGTTGTAACTGCGCTGGATGAATACTTGGTGAAGACCAAACCTCATCGTACATCAGACTATAATCTTTTTATTTCATGGAGAAAACCACACAAATCTGTTACATCTCAGACTCTAAGTCGGTGGATTAAGACAGTAATGGAGCAAAGTGGTATTGACATTACAATTTTCACAGCCTATAGCACACGTCATGCAGCAACCTCGGCCGCTAAGGCAAGCGGCATAAACATCGACTTCATAAGGAAAACGGCTGGATGGACACAAAAGTCTAAAACATTTGCAAAATTCTATGATAGAAAGGTCGTTCAAGACCCTAAAATTTTTGCTGAAGCTGTATTCACTAAGATTAATAAGAAATAAACGACAAGGCAGTTAAAAATACTTTTTATTCTGCCGTATAGACATTGCTCTAAACATCTACTAGGTGATCTGAGGAAGAGGCGCGGAATACAATTGAACGATTAAACGAACTTACCTAAGTGAAGTTCTATCGCAATTGTATGAAGCGCCTCCTCCGAAAGATCAGTCCCACCCTGTCCCTTTTATCCTAGAGGATAGCCCTTGAACATACGGCAGCTCTTTAAAAGAATGAGGTTTAGAACCGGAACGCCGCCTGTGGAGACAGCGCGCGGTAGATAAGTTAGAAACTTTGTCTTTAAACCGTGTGGAATTAAGTACATGAAGTAGGGGTACTACCAGGTGATCTTTCGGAGGAGGCGCTTCATACAATTGCGATAGAACTTCACTTAGGTAAGTTCGTTTAATCGTTCAATTTTAAAAATATACTTTAAAAAATTTTTTATTCAAAAATCCGAATGGTACAAAATCATTGTGATTCTACCGTAAAGTCTTCAAGACCTCACTGTCTTTCCACTACAATCTCACCAAAATTTTACTGTGATTTTATAGTAATTCTGAAACCTCGAGGGATTTCATTTTTAACGCGAGGCTGACGTCAGAATCGTCGTCGGAATCGTCCAGGGATTTCTTGTCCGCGTGTTTTGCGGAGTTTTTTTCCATATTTCCATTCCAGCAGCTGCTGGATCTCCGATGGCTTGAACTTCCTGATTCCCTCGCGTATAAGAACTGACGTGATAATCGCAAGCAATTTCAGGTTTAATTTTTCGGCTTCCATTTTTTATTTTTTTTTGACACTGCACGTTTATTCACTGAACTGTTTGCTGGAAGTGTCTGAGGCCTAATATTTGGAAATGTTTTTCAGTTTCAAATAGATTTATTGATATAATTTTTAAATGTTACATTTTTTTTTTTATTTGACAATGTATTACAAACGTACTTAAATACTAGTACCCGTTCATAGAACTCTTATCTAGTAAAAATAAAAAAAATACATATCACAGTTGGCTTTCTTAAAAGTATATTTACAATCGATTTATATCATGAGCGGGGAAAATTAAAAATATAAAAACCCACTGACAGTTAAAAGGTTACATAAGGTCATAAGGCTAGTTGCCGATTTATACTATACAGAGCTGATTAGCCATTTTATATTTTAGGCACGGGTGATGCCGTTTTATTTTGCACTAATGTTTGGAAATGGAAAATTCGGGCCTATATATGGAAGACTTCTCCCCTCTCTAAGAAATTTCGGGCCAAATACAGTCTGCTAACTAAGCGGCTATTGTATCTTCTTTCTATATTTTTATGATTATTGATTCTTATCCGGGCTCGAGTACATTAATGGTAATTTTAGCACACTGACCATTACTCAAGGTCATTAAAATGTATTTAAATGATTTATATTACGAGCTCGTAATGAGTAATACCTGGCTTAAGATCAAATTTTTAAGATAGTTTTATTATTCTTGTTTGGTTAAAGAATTTTGTATTTAAATTGAGTTTGTTTGGAATTTTGTGGAAATTTGAAGAATAGATAATGGAAAATTTTTAATTGTGAAAATACTTTTAGACGTACTGTGAACAGATGGAAGAAAATAGATTTTAGGGAGGGGTAATAAATTGTTTAAATGACATTGTCGAAATGTATGAATGTGGATTGGAAAGAAAAGGGGACACCTAGGTAGATAAATATTGAATGGTGAATTTGTGACTTGTAACTTTTGGGAAAAAAAAAATTTGCTTACAAAATTTAAGATTTAAATAAAATTATTTATTGATTTATTATTACAAAATCATTTAATTGAAAATTTTTGACTATTAAAATTAATTATTGTAAATAATAAAATTATTAATTCGTTTTTTTTATAATGCGAAAATTAAGCTTTTGTAATTTACCACTTTGACCGATCAATTCCAAAAACTAATCAGCTCTTAACATCAAAAAACCACGTCGATCGCCACCAAGCTGGTTAAAATCGGTTAATTCTTTCGTGAGTAATCGTTGACGAAAGATATCGAAAAAAAGTGTTTATTTCGAATTACACCGAAAATCGGTTTATTCATTCAAAAGTTATTGCGGTTTGAAAATTCAAACACTAGTGTTTTATTAAACTTCTATCAGATTTTTGAGCTCGGAGAGCTCAAAACTACACGAAAATTCTATTTTTGAGTTCGAAGAGCTCAAAAACGTAATAAGTGCAATTTTGAGCGCTTAATTACAAAAGTAGCGGGAAGTTGCAGGGATGGTCTTCAGGGTCAACCGTTTTCTTAATTTTTTTTAATTTATTTTAAAATGTACTATGTTTAAGTTAAGTTATCATTCTGATTCCGGCGCTCGAAAAAAAGCAAATATTCATTATTTTTAACTCCCTGCTAAGAAAATTCCCGCGAAGAGCTCAAAAGCATAAAAAAGCTATCACTTTAAGCTCAGAGAGCTCAAAACATCATTAATGCAATTTTGAGCACCTAGGTATGAAATTAGCGGGAAGTTGCACGGATGGCCTTCAGGGTCTACCGTTTTTCTAATTTTTTTACACAGAAACTATAATAGATATCGATGTAAGCTTTATTCAGCTTAACACATACACTCTTGCTTAGCACAAAAAAAATCTAACATTATTTTTCTTTTATATTTTTTATATGAATAGAATAGACAACGGGTGAACGGAGCTCCTCCAAACGTTAGTAGGTATATCGTTGACGTACATACATGATAACTTGATAACGGCTCATCTAAAACACAAAAAAAAAACGAAAATTATTTACCTTCAATATTATATATGAGTAGTGATGGCCTGAACTACGTAGATTAATATTTATTATAAATAACAAAATAGCTGAGATGAAAAAAAAAAATGAGCCTTTTTGTCACAGATTTTAGTCCCAAAAAAATAATAAAAATCAAAATTTTGTTTTATTTTTAGTTTGGGCCATAGCTACTACGATGTAGAATATATAGTATAAATTTCATTAAGATCGGGTCAGTGGTTCCAGAGATATCATGTACGTAAACCAGAAAAATATAATTCTGAGATAAACGCGTTTAAAGTTTTTATTATAATGAAAAAAAATCTTACCTTAAGTCAATTAGCAATACTGGCACCATACAAAATCCTATCAGCCTGTTTAAAAATTTGATTTTCTTTCACTCGAAAACTCACATAAACCTGGTAAAATATAGTAAAATAATATAGCCACAGTAGCCCAATCACTAAGAAATTTTAACACAATACTTGTAGGCGTATGTACTTTCGAAAAATCTAAAAAAGAAAAATAATTTTTCAAAAGTTACAAACCAGAATGATACCTTAAGTGTCATTATTTTTTTGTCACGCAGGGTAAGAATTTAAATTTTTGATGCAGTTATGGTAAAACTTTTTTTTTTGTAGTAGACAAAGATCGATTACAAACAAGTAAAAAGTAATAATTTCAGAGCATTACGGACAGTGAAGTACAACTACCTATATTCCAAGCAACTTTTTACATTGTATTCATGAATTACTTTTTAGGCTTAATGTTCATTTATTCATGGGTTGGAGAGAATTTGATCAAAAGAGTTAATTATAAAAACTTTATTAGAATTATCTTAACAGTAATGTTCATAAAAAATATTTGACGTTTCTATTATGCAGAGTGACTCCTTGAATAATGCAATTTACAACTGTGATTGGACGTTGCTCATTGCAAAAGACCGTCGTCAAATGATTCTTCTGCTATTAAACTCTCAGAGAAAATTATGCGTTACAGTAGGAGGTGTTGCTTCAGTGTCTCTTGATACGTTTGCAAAGGTATGTAAAGTATGTTCAATACTTCATACTTTGAGTTATCAACTGATTAATATTATTATGATAGCGATTATCTGATCATGTGTAATGTTTTGAGTTTTTAATATGCTATTATTAAAGCTGTACATAATAAAAAAAATTGATAATTTAAAATTTTCAAATTTTAGTTAATAAAAACATCTGCGGGGTATATATCAGTACTACTTGCAGCCAAAGAGTGAAAGTTTATCTACATTTATTGTAAAATATATAGTATAAATAAACAATAAAATAAGTAAAATCATAATTACAATATTTTTTATTCTAAACTTTTGTTATCTCTACAATATAGACCGTGCTTTAGATAAATTTAATCACTATCTTAAAAAATGTATGTCATAATGATGTTTAATTGCATAGAAACAGAATTTTATTATCTTATTAACCTCATTGCCAATAAAAACGCATGAATTACTTAAAATAGATTATTGTATTAAGTTTCACATAATAAATCAAGGTTATCAGTATATATTTTATAAATTATTATGTATTTTTTTCCTCTTCGTTACCAACGGTTTCATTTTCTGCGTCAACAGAAATATCATCAGAATTTGACGATGTACATTTCGAAATTTTTGATTTCGTTGATTTTCCGTCCGAATATTTTGATTTACACTTCTCAGATTTTTTGTTTTTCCCTGCATTGAAATGGCAATGTGAGTCACATTCTTGTTCATCTTGCTCATCAATTATGTTCTCGTCTTCAGAAAGTGAAGATTTCTTCAATTTTTTATCTTTCTTAATTTTTTTCTTTATCTTATCTTTTTTCTTCTTGTCTGGCTTTCCATTCTTTATTTTATCACTACTTTCCTTAGCGCCAGTTTCAACAGATTGACTGTTTTCTGCATCGGTTTTATCTGAAGTTTCTAAATCATTGGACTGATTATCAACTTCATTATCAGTCACAGTGTCTACATCTTCGTCTTCTTGTTGATTGCGATTTTCTTTTGTTTTGTTACTCTCTACTCGTTTTTTTTTCTCCTTCACTTCGTTTAATATTTCGTCACTCCCAGCATTTTCTTTTCGTTGTTTATTTTTTTGAGTTTTTTTATGTTTCTGGACTGTTTCTTCCACAATCATTTTTTCATCCACATCCATGTCTTCAGCTGATCGTCGTTTTCTCTCTTTAGTTTTTACATGGTTCTTTTCAACCTTATTTTTTTTACCATTACTAAAAAAAAATCGATAAATGCTTAAATTTTTTTTTATATAAAAATCATAAAATAAAATAAAATTTATATTTACCGAGTTGAATGATGTTCTACATCAGAGTGTTTATTTTTGCCGTGGGTTTTTTTACCGTCAATACTTTCCAATGATAAAACGATAATCACACACAAAACAAGTGTAGCAAGCACAGCGATTCTAGAAATTAAAAAAAAAAAATTTTACAATTTAAATTATCTTTCTAAAAAAATTTGCATTCAAGTAAAAATTATATTTTATAAAAAATTAAATAAACAATCTTCTATTATTTAAAAAAATAACCTACCGCATTGTTGAATTAAAAAAATATTTTCAACAAATGTAAAAAGAATTAAACAGTCTGTAGTATTCACAACACGTAATGAAAAAATGAGTTTCCGTTAAAGCATTGAAAAATTGGTGCAACTGAAATCCCACCACAACTATGATAATTATTCCACTCGTTATCCGTTAAAATGATAGCAATTCATCTGATATGAAATCTTTGATGCGCTAAATTTTTAATGACGTCAATAATGTGCCTCTATAAAAGATTAGCGATGTATTAATTTAATTTATGTTTACCTATTATTCCAAGATTATTAAAAATATTTTTGACGCACCTTGCTGATATATATCAATTTTATTATAATATCATAATAAAAATGTAAATAAAATTTTTATGACATTATTTATTTTTTAAATTAAAAAAAAAAGTGTAAAAGGTTATCGAGTTATTTTTAGATTTTGATAAAAACTTATTGCCAATAAGTTTTATTAAACTAGAAGTTTGATTATTGCATTAATATTTTTTTATTAGGATGTTAAAAAAATTAATATTACGTTTTTATTATTGATTTTCTTTGCTTATGATCTCCTTAGAATATTTTTAAGCCTAGAAAAAAATGAGTTAAAAAAAAAATTTAATTAATTAATATGCTTTATCAAGTGGAAAAATTCATTTAAAGAAGGAGATTTATGGATAAATATTGAAATGAAAACTGTATCTTTTTTTTTGTATTTTTGGATTTATGACAATCCTTCAAACTGCAACATTGTTAAAAGTTTAGGGTGACGTTACTCTAATAAGGGATAATATCATGTCATGCTTACCAGTTGCGATGGCTGGTATAAAACTTTTAAAACTATCGATTAACTTAACAAAAAAAGTATTTGTATCGATTTATTACTTTCCACTTTTTTATGACTACAAAAAACTTTTCAATAGTTAAATTTTTTAAATATAGCATGATCAGATTGAACTATTTAAAAGTTTATTCCCGATTTTTTGAAAATTTTTTACTACACTTTTTGAGTACCCTGTTTTGCCCTGCTACCTTGCTTCACCCATTACCTCTTCCCTATACTATTAAAACTACATGGAGTTCATTATTGTATCATTTATCGATACTAATAGGGATGATGGTTTTTATTTAATTTTTTAGTAGGCAATCCAGTCTCTTTCACACTATTCTTTATTTTATGATCTCGGGATATTTTTATTCAATACTTGGATTGAATATCATACGATCGTAATTAGAATTTCGTTGAAAAGCTTCGAAAAAATGTGGAGTTTCGGCTCAAATCATTCTTTGCATTATGAATTTTCAATGTAGCAATGATTCATTCAATAATCTAAAAGATACTTATTGATTGAGACAAACCACCCGATCGTGGATTTTTTTTTCTTTAATAGATTTCTGACATTAAAACGAACATTGAAAAATCGAGAAATTTTTTGTGGTAAATTTGGCTATTTTGAAAAAAATTAATTTTTTGTAGATATCGAGTGACTGTGAGCTGAACGCCAGCGGATTTTTGACCGAAGGCGTGGTAGAAGGGGAACTCAGCAGTAATTTTCAACGAGTATGGGAGTCCCAGTGTAACGTAACTGCTCTACTCTTAGCATTTTATCTTTGGGGTAAAAATTCTGTACAATTCACTAAAAATCGCCACTTATGGGACTATTTTTCTGTGTACATGGGGTGAATCGATTGATTATGTGTCTGAAAATCTTTTTTAGAGTGTACTCTATGATTTCCATGAGTCTTCTTTCCTAATTTCCAGTGGACACTGACAAATGAATTTGTAATAGTCAAAATAAACCAAAATTAGCTGAAAATCGCCACTTATGGGGCTATTTTTTCGTAAAAATGGGGTGGATTGATTGATTATGGGTCTGGAAATCTTTTTTAGATCGTCCTTTATGGTTTCCATGAGTTTTATTTCTTAATTTCCAGTGGACATCGAGAAATGAATTTTTGAATGCAAAAATTCTGTAAAATTCACAAAAAATCGCCACTTATGGGACTGTTTCTCCGTGTTCATGGGGTAGATTGATTGATTATGGATCTGGAAATTTTTTGTAAAGAGTATTCTATGATTTCCATGAGTTTTCTTCCTTATTTTCTAGTGGGATTCGAGAAAAGAATTTTTAAATGTTAAAATTCGTCAAATTTACGAAACAATCTCAGATTTAGGGGCTGTTGCTTTGTTTCTATAGGGTGGATAAACTCTCATTAATTTTTCATCCTTTATTTTTCGATGGGCGCCAAGTTTTTAATCTTTTTTCGTCTTTGTATTTTCTATTTGCTTATCGTTTGTTGATAGAACCCGTAGGATGCGTGCGCGCGGCAGAGAGGTCCAACTGCTACTTGTTGTATTTCGCGATACTTCCGAAAAAATTCATTTTATCGAAAAATTGACAAGAACACTTTTTGTTGTTTTTTCAATTTTAAACATTTTGTTTTGCATAAACTTTCCCGTCAAATCAGCCGTTTCTGAGTTATAGCGGTTTAAACAATCAAATTATTAATAACAATTAAATTCACCATTGGAGAACAAAATAACCTAGTTTGTCGTAATCCTTAGCTAAGAGAACGTAAATATCAGTTATCAGAACCTGCGGACCTAAAAGTGCGTACGAGCTACTCTCTTCAGCCGAGAGACTATTTATTTATTTATTTATTGAAGAAATTCGGCCCTAGAACTGACGTTCCTTAAAGGCCGTAGAAATTTAATAGTATTACATAGTGAGGAAGTACTTTGAATACAAAATTAGAAAGTAATTTGAATACAAAATTGAAAAGTAGTTTGAATACAAAATTTTGAATAACTATTTGAGAGACTATAAAGGGGAGATACAGATAATTCACCGTAAAAATTAAACATAATATAAAATAAAAATTAATTAAAATGGAAAAAATAAAAACAATCAAAAATGAAAAGTGTTATTGGATAAGTTATTATTGTCTTTTATTTGTATTTAAAAATATTTCATAAATAACATTTAAACTTGTCATTAATGTAATAAAATAAATAACTAGCTATTTATAATATTTATTCTTTCAAATATAATCACTATACATTCGCACGAATTCCACAAATTTACAGCGTATTGATTATTAATTATACATTCTTTTTTATTACAATAACAGTGTTACGTAATTAAGTATTTATACAGACATAATATATAATCATTTTTTTCTTTTATTACTTTGAAACTATAAAGGGAACATTACAAAAAATTGATTATTAATTATTTATTTTAAATACTATAATAATGTTTTTTATAACTTTACAACAAGGCACTCATAAGTTTAATCTTGTATATTATTACTTTTTAATTAGCGCGTACTTTTAACACAGTATATCTATTTCAAATACGATTTTTAACAACTTTAATTTTTGAAAAAGATATTTGCAAAGTGTTATATTTAGGTTTAAGTATTTAAAAATTTTTTTATTTGATTTAGAATTACGAACTCTATATACTATTATTTTTCATTCTAGTACCTTAATTTTTTATGCTTAGTTTTACTCATTTATTTATTTATAAGTGATGTTTTGTTTATAAAAATTAAAAAATAATTCTACTTTCAAAGTACAATTACGCAGATAATTATTCATTATTATATAATATATAAAATAAAAATACAAGGAATTGATAAAAAAAATATTTCTTCTCTTAAAAAGTGAAATTATTTTTACTTATAGTGTGAATCAATCACATCTCCAATTATAAGAGTTTCGATTGAACTCCAAGAATATATATATGTTTGTACTGTTGAGCTAACGTTTTTTTTTTTTTTAAGTACCTTCAAAATCGAATAAAAAAAATATATAAATTTTTAACTTAAAATTATAAATTTGTAAGCTATATCATTTTGTAAAAAATTTTGTTTACTAATATTTTCAAATAAATTTGATGTAAAATAACCCGCTAAAAATATAAATTTTATTTAAGACTAGATATTACATCCAAATTAATATTTGTAATTGATTTTCTGTAAATTATATCTAGAAAAAATCTAAAAATTAATTTGTAGGCAACAAGCTCTAAAACTTCTGGAATTCTACTTGGTTATTATTATCTCAAAATGTTTTATTTTTCATAAATTATTTTTTTGAATGCCTTCAGAGCTGTTTTCTTGCTTACAAAATTGAAAATTTTCGTACATTTGTGAAAATATACTTTACAGAGAGATAACTAATTATTTTGGTAAGTACACTCATATTTTAACCGAAGATTTAAAGATATTTAAAACTGAAGTTTTATTATTATAAATATAATATTATTGGAGTCCAATTGTGCCCATTTAATAAATCATCTATAATCTAATAATATATAATAAATTGGTAAAACATTACCTGAGATTTTCATTTCACAAAAATACTCTCTTTTTCTAGTTTTAAATACAAGCTTACTCTAACTGCCAATGTAACAGGAATTAAAGTCACGCACTCAATTGAATGCATTTGTTTTTAAATACATAATAATGCTAATAATAATAGTAGTAGTATAAGTAAAATTTGACAGTGTCGTAATTATTTTTTTCTCTTAAGTGATAAATATAGTATTAAACTTATCAAAGTCTTATTTTTCAAGTACATAAATTTTCAATGCGAATAATCATTTATTAATTCTGGTTGTTCTGGATTGTTAGAATGATTGGGCAGATTTTTACCGTTTTTTAAGTTCGAATCATTCAGCGGCTCAATGTCGTTGTCGACTGGCTGAGAGCGCTTTTGATCGACATAGTTCCACGGTTGAATTTCTGCGGTACCAAATATTTGGTAGACAATATAAGTACCACATGCAATACCGCTGGTGAGGCCAGTGTGAATCAATCACATCTCCAATTATAAGAGTTTCGATTGAACTCCAAGAATATATATATGTTTGTACTGTTGAGCTAACGTTTTTTTTTTTTAAGTACCTTCAAAATCGAATAAAAAAAATATATAAATTTTTAACTTAAAATTATAAATTTGTAAGCTATATCATTTTGTAAAAAATTTTGTTTACTAATATTTTCAAATAAATTTGATGTAAAATAACCCGCTAAAAATATAAATTTTATTTAAGACTAGATATTACATCCAAATTAATATTTGTAATTGATTTTCTGTAAATTATATCTAGAAAAAATCTAAAAATTAATTTGTAGGCAACAAGCTCTAAAACTTCTGGAATTCTACTTGGTTATTATTATCTCAAAATGTTTTATTTTTCATAAATTATTTTTTTGAATGCCTTCAGAGCTGTTTTCTTGCTTACAAAATTGAAAATTTTCGTACATTTGTGAAAATATACTTTACAGAGAGATAACTAATTATTTTGGTAAGTACACTCATATTTTAACCGAAGATTTAAAGATATTTAAAACTGAAGTTTTATTATTATAAATATAATATTATTGGAGTCCAATTGTGCCCATTTAATAAATCATCTATAATCTAATAATATATAATAAATTGGTAAAACATTACCTGAGATTTTCATTTCACAAAAATACTCTCTTTTTCTAGTTTTAAATACAAGCTTACTCTAACTGCCAATGTAACAGGAATTAAAGTCACGCACTCAATTGAATGCATTTGTTTTTAAATACATAATAATGCTAATAATAATAGTAGTAGTATAAGTAAAATTTGACAGTGTCGTAATTATTTTTTTCTCTTAAGTGATAAATATAGTATTAAACTTATCAAAGTCTTATTTTTCAAGTACATAAATTTTCAATGCGAATAATCATTTATTAATTCTGGTTGTTCTGGATTGTTAGAATGATTGGGCAGATTTTTACCGTTTTTTAAGTTCGAATCATTCAGCGGCTCAATGTCGTTGTCGACTGGCTGAGAGCGCTTTTGATCGACATAGTTCCACGGTTGAATTTCTGCGGTACCAAATATTTGGTAGACAATATAAGTACCACATGCAATACCGCTGGTGAGGCCGAAAACGTTTCTCCATGCATCCAATGTTTGCTGTTGAAGAAACAAGCGACAATTAATTATTTTATTCTATAAGAAATAATAATAAATAAATGTAAAAAAAAAGTATTACATTTTTATCAGTAAATAGTCCAGCTGCTTGAGGTGACAAGAAACTAGCAGTCATGTGAATTGTTTGAGCGAATGCTAAAACTGGTCCAGCTAAATTTGGTGCTATGTCTACGATATTAGCCATAGCACCGGCGTAGGCTGCTGTGATAAGTGTTACAGCAATAAACCATATAATGAGAACAATTACTATGTTGCAGCCTAAATATCCAATTAGAAGTACTAGTAGTCCCGGAATAACTTGAGCTATTTAAAAACCAAATGTAACCATATTAATATTTGTTTTCAGTACCATAACATTAAGTTATTGTTTTATTTTTATTTTAATCTTTCATCCAACGAGTGACTTTGCTAATTTTTTTGTCAATAAAGTGTCTTACTGTTCTAAATTTTGTTTTTCAAAAAAAAAAAATATCAAAATAAAGTTTTTATCCAAAATAATTGATTTTCAATTTCAATACTTTTTTGAGGCAAAAATTTTTTTTCTACAGCTAATGAATGACTACATTTTTTTTTGTCAGTATTTAATAATTGTTTGTTGAAAAAACTCGTTAAAAGTTCAAAAATCTATCAGATAGAGTTTTTCTAAAAAAATTATTTAAATAAATAAATCCAAGTGTCTGCTTATAGTGCAATGGATGAATGGCATATGAAAATGAATAAACTTTCTACTTACATATGGCTGTAAACATTTTTCGTACATTAGTTAAAGTCATTAATTGTCTCGTCACAAGTACATCCGCAATGTAACAAAAAACCACAGAACTAAAATAGCTACCGATAAATGGCGCTCCAGAAAGGAATCCATTCTGAAATTTAAGAAGTTAATTTAAATTTTATAATAGAAAAATATTAACCATTAAATATATTATTGTGCTTATGTAGATAAAAAATTGCAGATATTGATGCAATATCTTTACTATGATATTTATTAAAATATTTTTAGTATACTTACAGTTTGGATGCTGAAGCCTAGGACAGTCTTCATGTACATAGGACCAGGAATAATAAATACATAATGCACCCATATTCTTCCAAATGTTGTAATTCCAATTGCCCATGCTGGCCATGAGGTTAAAATAGACTTCCAAGGTACTGGCATCGCTTGCTGTGTGAAATGTTACGTTTATTAGTGCAATGCTTTGCTAATTTTAATAATAGCATTAATTATTTACAATTGACAATTTCTATGAAAAAATAAAAAAAAAAAGGAGAAAATTACTTTGAAGAGAACTTTACGATTTAATTCAAGAATTCGTTTACTTGAAACTTGTTTTCATGGCATGAAAATTCCATTAAATTCGATCAAGAGTATATTATCTTCGTAAAATACAATCAAATTCTTAATCGAAAATTACAATTTACTTCAACTAAAAATAATTTATTTTTCTTTTAAGGTAGTTGGATCATGCGAGCGAAATTTCAAGAAACCTTCCAAATTTATAATATAAGTAATTAAATGCATAATGCACATGCTGTTAAAATTTGGAAACAATTTACCACTTCTAACTAAAGATAATTGCAATTGAAAATCACATTTTTACACAGGCGCTATAGGAAAAGAGAGAGAAAACCGCGAAGTTTTATTATTTTTGTATTGAAGAAATTTTAAGAATTTCACGAAAAACGAATATTACTTAGATTTATACATGTATAATGACCCCAAAAAATTCTGGAATTCCCTACCACATAGTTTTTGAGAAATCATTGATAAACTAGTAAAGTAAACAAATAAAGTCATACGTGGAAGTGAGTGAGCAATAGCCTGTAAGAGAGGCGACACGAGTGAATGAAAAAGACAGCAGTAGCATAAACTATAGGTTGGGAAAGAACTATCTTAAACCAAGATCATCATTTTTGAGAATTACTTTATCTTTTATACAGTAGAAAAATTCTTAAGTCAAGTAAAACACTTAAAATAATTATTATTGGATTAAGCTAGTCTACAAAACTGTGTTACCTACGATTCGAAAGTTAATTAGCACATAAACCGCTAGATGGTGCTAGGGCTTTGATTTAGCTAAAAATCTACTAGCTAAAGGCATCGAACGAAGTGAAAGCATCGAAACTACAATGACGATCTCCTTCAATTAAAAACCAACTGCGTAAGGAGTAATAAAAAGAAACTGCGGACAATAACTCGAGGAAGTGATAGAACAGAGATAAAGGTAGTTGACCGCTTTGATTAATAGTAATCAATGCAAATGAAATGTATCAAGTTCTCATTGTTATTCATAGTAAGGTAGGAGATTTAAAATGAATAAATTAAATTTATTGGGCATGTGTTTTGTCTTAAGCTCCGTGATTAGAGACGTCGTTTTTAGTACGCGCTGTTACAGTAGATGTAACCCTGAAATTGACGTCAAAGGGTCTGGCCCAATGGAATCACTTGGAAATATCTGGAAAGAGGCGGAGAGGGTTCTTCTGGTCCTGGTGCTGCTGGAAAGGGTAAAGGTATGGAATGAAGTTGCGTCGTAAGAGAAGGATATAATGGAGACCTTTTGTGGCATTTTGAGGACACGTTGGTGGTTAGGCGGTCTACCAGAAGAACTTGTAGTTGTGTAGTTCACCGTCCACGTATAAACGTTCTGAAGTAGATCCCAACAAATAGCGACCTTGCCACCAGCTCTAACGAGACAAAGCGACACGCGACAAGTCTTGATGTATCTGATAGGCCAGACGTATCGACTACTTTGCTCTTCTTTCCATTTTTATTTGTTGTAAAAATGTTAACTGTAAACAAAACTTTTAGTTTGTCTTTTGACAATGCACAACATGTCGACATTTATACCTATGCCTGCCTATCCAGCATTTATGAGGACAACGCTAGTAGAGTGTATTGACGGACAGAAAGAATGACTTGAGTCTTTTGTTGGGATTGATAAAATGGTTATTGTTCGTTTTATCAATTTTCATTTTATTGTTGCTGCTAACTGACAATGTAAGCATGAATATGACGACCCATATTATTCTTATGGAACATAAAGATAAATGTGGTTATTTGTTTCTTATTTGAGAATAATGGCTGAAATATCGAAGGTACAAGAAAATTATCAGAGGCATTTTTTGTAAGAACTTTAATTTTCTTTAAAAATGGTCCTGACCAAATTCACCTTATCTTGCTTCCTTTTAATTTTCCGAAAATTTAGATTTGAAACTCAAAAAGAAAGTGGCAGGAGTTATCCATCATGGCTTTGAGAACTTGAATTAATAATTCTGGGCTAAATATCGAAGACATGAAAAAATCACAAGCACGGAAAAAAAATCCTATGAAAAATTACACTGGTAACATCGTAATCCAGGACTAGACTTTCAGTATGTTGATTTTTACGATGCTACCGCCTACAAAATACAATTTGAATTATTGAAAATTACGATGTTATTTAGTAAATTTTTTTTCCGTTAGAGCAAGTGAATAAGGACCCGCATGGAGAAATATATATGTCAAAAATATATGTCACATATATAATATATATGCCGCATATATTTACGCAAAAAAAAAATATGTCAACATATATTTTTCACATAGATGCTGACATATAAGCAGAAATACATGCTTACATATATGTAGACATATATGTCGACATATATGTAAGCATACACTGAAAAAAAAATTTCTAAGTTTGAGAATTTTTTTACTCAAATCAAGAAAGTTAAATTTTTCAAAATTTTTTTCTGTGAATCTCTAGACATTTATATGCGCACATATATGTGAACATATATGCACGCATATACCGCGTTACAAATGCCATAAGGGCGTATCAGCCTATTATACGCCCTTATGGCACCCGGCCTATTGTACGCCCTTATGGTCCCCAGTTGGTACCCCGGGTGCCATAAGGGCGTACCAAAAAATTTCAAATTTGAAAAAAATTTTTTTTCGTCATTTCTATGCGCTTCAAGTAAAAATACGTTGTTTCCCGAAAAAAAAAATTTTTGGTACGCCCTTATGGCACCCGGGGTACCAACTGGGGACCATAAGGGCGTACAATAGGCCGGGTGCCATAAGGGCGTATAATAGGCTGATACGCCCTTATGGCATTTGTAACGCGATATATTTTTTTTTCAAACTGACGCCAAAATAAGTATTTTTAAATTTCACCGTGAGATGGCGTTACTCAACTAAATGGCGTCACTAGCGTTTGAATTGAGATTCTAAAAAGAAATTTTTAATTTACAAATTACCCGAAAAATCAATTGTTAAAAAATTTTTTCATTCAATTATTTCAATAACTTTCATTAAAATTCAAAAAAAAATTTTTATCTTAAATATCAAGACTGAAAAACTACAGTAAATTTTACAATAAAAAAATTATTTCACCATTAAAGAGGTTCGAGCGTAACTTATGAGTCAAAATTCTTTATCTTAATTTGAATTTAATAATTGATGATTTTTACTTATTTAATAAAATCAAGTTATAAAATGACTTTCGTATAGGAGATAAAAACTGTGATTGTTAAAATTTAATATCTGAGTAATTAAGCGGTGAATAATTTTAAAATTTTGGGATTAGATAAAAGACGTCTTTATACGTATACTTAATTTCAAAGCTCAAAGTTAGAAATTTTTTTTCACATTTATACTAGTAAAAATTAATGGTACTTTTCTATATTTTCCAACATTATATTCATGATCAAATCTACTTTTAAAATTTTCCGACAGGTGGCGCACGATCGCTAAATCTTCTCCTTACTAGAGAGTTAATTTTAAAATTACAACTTTAAAAGCAAATTTTTTCCTTATACATTACAATTGACTGTTTAATATTTTTTCTCATTATAAATGTGAATAATGTAGGAAGTTATTTCGGTCCTTATACATTTATACGTATTTTTGCCATAAGTAACGTAAATATCAATGGATATTTCTTTTTACTCAGCACTAAGCAGTAGCGATTGATCAATCTCAATTGTAACTCTAACTTAAGCGACAATTCAGGTTGGAAATTATTTTTCACATTAGATTCGTTCGAACCTCCTTTAAAATTCCCATTTATGAAAAAACCTCAAAAATCCTACCTTAACTTTCTCCGTCGGCGGGGAAGCCTGCTGCTGAAGTGAGTTCAAAACCTTATCCCTCTCCTCCTGAGTGTCCTTAATCCTAGCTTGCAACTGCGCCAGCTTATCTTCATAGTGCTGCTTCATAGAAATGAGCCTCTTCTGAGACATCTCCAACTCCTGAATCAACCTTTGCTTCACATCAATATCCGAAGTAAGCGCCTCTAACTCCCTTCCCATAGCCATTTCTTCATCCTCCTCCTTCCTGTCTTCCTCATCAGACTCATCTTCACTCAAGGACTCTTGTCCATTTTCCGTATTGTCCCCATCAGGATCCTCATCATCCTCCTTACTGGCCGTCTGTTCCTTCAAAGCGTCCAGCTTATTAATATCCTGCTGCAGCGCTTTCTTAGCAGTGTCCAAAATGGACGGCGCTTCAAACCCATACTCCGCATGTGGCGCCACTGGCTGCCTTTTCTTCAGCTGCTGGTACATAGCTTCCGCTTCAAGCAACCTGGCCCTCAACTCTTCAATTTCTTGGACATAACCCAGGACCAATTGGGACGCGTCTTCATTTCCCGAAGAGACCCATTGGCCCGCGGCTTTTTCCGCGAGCAGTAGCGCGTTCTTCGCTGTTAAAGCTTCCACAGTTTCGGACAAAGCTTTGACCCTAGTCCGGAGACTCTGCATCTCGCTGTTGAGCATCTGGGTCTCGTGCCAGGCGTCATTAACACCATCTTCTCCAGCGACGCGCTTTATCAATAGAAAATTTCATAACTTTGCAATTGTGTCAAACGATTTCATTTTAGTGGTCTGTTTTTTTTTTTTTTTAGTTAATTTATATTCATTTTACTCGTTACTCAAAATATCATATACTTCTTTCAAAAATTAAAAATGAAGGCATAAAAAAATTTTATGATTGTATTTTGAAATCCTTTCACCAATGATAGCCTCCAAATAAATCAATTAATTTAAATTAAATATATGTAATTCAACACAGATTTTAAGCTTTTAAAGTAATTTAGGACAGTCAGCGATTGTTTAAATTAAAAATGAAAGCAACAGGTTTTGTACTGTAGATAAAATCGCAAATTGGATGCATTTATTAAAAGACTTTTTTCAAAATTCAAAAGACTTTCTTCAAAATTTAAAAAGAAATACTACAAAAAATTTTGACTACCTATTTTGTGCGGCCCTTCTCTTATAACAAAAGATCCATGCTCTTTAATTGTTGAAATTTAGTGTAAGATATTATGATAATATATATCTTTTTACGGTATGAGAAAGATTAATATTTGGTTGATTTCAGTTTATAATGCCATTCAACGTGCGTGTATCAAGCTGAACTGATTCAACCAGGCTGGAAGTATACTCATGCCGTTCTCATGCTGTTGAGCGGTTGCCAATCGAGTATACCTCGCGGTCCGGTGAATTCAGCTACGTTGGAGCTAAATCAGTAAAAAAATAAATTTTCAAAATTTTATAATGATCGCAAGAGATTATGTACACATGTTTCAATTCTATTAAAAACTTCGTCATATCATAATAATTATATGGTTATTATTATAATCATAGAATAATCGGTGATCCATGTGGAACAACTGACTGAAAGAATTTCAATAGATTGGTTATTACTTATTGCGAAAAAATTCTCTTAAATATTATTCCGATATGATTGACTGAAAGAATTATATATTTATCAATATAATATCTGTATGAAAATATAATAAATATGTATGATAAACAAAATATATTCGATGGCAAGTAGGATAAATATCTATAGAGAAATAAAATAATAAAATTCATATGTAATAATTAATCACGACACATGTTACATAGTCTAAGGCGAGATTATTAAAGTTTCACTGTAACACAAAAAAATGTTTTTAGTGGAGTTTCCCGAGTTGAAAAAATTAACTTAACTTATATACTAAAACAATTTATGTAAGCTCATTTTTTCGAATCGGGTTATGCGGATTTTTTATACACAGTAAAAAAAATTTTTTTTTACCTTGGAATGATGACATGAAACGCGACCGTTCAACTGGTGGAATCCAATGCCCGACGATCGCATACATTGCCGGCCAGGTTAAGCCCTAGAATTATACAAAAATTTTTAATAAATATCATGAACGTTTTTACATACATACAACATTTTATACTGGTTTAATTTTTGAAAGTTTAAGGTGTGCGATTGAATGTATGAATACACCTTATATAGACAGCACATGTTAAGTATGGTAAAAAAAAAATTAGCAATGGAATTTTTATTTACTTTTTTACCACAGCTATTGCAATATTTAACTAAAAGTATTATCATAATATGTGTAACATTTCAAATAATAACCAAGAGAAAAATATATAACTTCAGAAAATGTTTTTTTTTTTATAAGATCGTCATTGATGAAAATTCAAAATAAATACATGTATTAGTGTTTGAGTTGTTTTAAGGATATTATGAGTTGTAAATTTACACAGAAAATGTTGATACATAAAATCCTTTTTCAAAACCAAACCAAAAAAACGTGTTACTAAAAAATGAATAATTCGGTAGTTTCAGAGTCCATTCTTAAAAAATAAATTTTTAACGTATATCAATGGATTAATTTTTTAAATTTAATGTATAATAATGAACTAGTGTCAGAAGAAATTAAATCTTTAAAATTTTATGGTTAATTTGCTAAAAAATTTTTTTCTCGTTCGGCTCAGAACTTTAATTCGAAAAAATTTCACGATACTTTTATTAGAAACATCATAGCTTAAAACTTAATTTATGTTTAAATTTCTGTAAAAATATTTAAGTTACCAATGTTTCTTACATAAAAAAAAAATTATATCAATGTTGCGTAGAACATTTTGTAATCTAGAAAGCAACTTCGATAGAAAAAATAGATAAATTTAAAAACGATAAAATTATGAAAATTTTGAAATTATGTTCTACGAAAGTGATATAATAATTATTTTTTTAATTGACAGATAAATAATTTACAGTATTAAAGTTATGTACACAATCAATTTTTAGTATTCTAATCACTGAGTATAGAGATTAGAGATTTTTAATCTGGACTAAAAGTCACGCGTTAAAGTTTATTTTTTTTCTAGTTTATGCAAAATTAAATATTAATATGTATGTATAAGAAACTTACGCTAGCGATTCCTTGAATACTTCTTAAGGTAATCATTGCTCCATAGTGCAGATCCGCTGCGGTAGGTATAAGTAGGCTACATATGGCAGTAAGTAACTGTGAGCCGCCGAAAACAGTCTTTGTCCCAAAATGTTGGGTAAGAACACCACCGACTATTTGTGAGAGAATATAACACCAGTAAAAGCTACTTGTTATAGTAGATTGTATTTTTGGGCTCCAATCAAATTCACCAGTCGTCTAAATAAACAATGAATTACTTTAATTTATAAAACCATAAATGAGGTACATTGTACTGCGAAATTTGATTAATAAAACACTTATTATAAGAATAAACAATCATGAATTATTTCACAAAATCATGCAATTAGCTTTTGTATTTATTTTTCTATTAATAACTCACTGCAGTTGAACTAGTAGAGTTATCTAATAAAGCAGTTGTGTTTGATATCTCGTAACAATATGAGTCCTTGGTGACATTTGAATCAGAGGAAACTGGTTGAAATTTAACCATCTCAACCATTGCGATGTTTATATCTGTTCTCATCATGAAAGATACCAGAAATCCAGAAAATGAGAGCATATATAATACCACGCGAGCGGGAACTAAGTCTGTAATGGAAAAATTAATTATTTAGCTGATAGCGCCATTGACAGAGTATTTTTTAGAATATATAATAATCATTATAAAAATTTTACCCGAAAGTCGTCGCAAGCTGTATGTTGGTCGCTTGAATTCCGAAGAATTTTCATATTGACTGTTCAAATTAAAATAAATCAATTAATTATTGTATTGCTTTTGATATTCAATTACAAGTGTCTTTACAGTATTTTCTTATCAATTTAAAGAGTAATTATATTACAATTTCAAACAAATAAAGTATAGTTTTTTTTTATGTAAATGTTAACTTCGAACCTCTCAGAATCTTCCATTGTGTTGCTCTGATGATATCACCAAGGAAAATTGTGCGTTTCTTTACGAACGAAATGCAACAATATCGATCCACAATCACCTTGGATTCTAGGAATAAAAATTCAATCAATTAATTACTGTCTTCGATGAATTCTGTTTTAAACAATTTTAAACTAAATAGTTTTTAATTGCTTTCCAATATCCTCTATAAAATATAAGGTTAAAGGTGAGGTTCGTAAGGTCAATCTACCCTTTCCAGCCGTGGAAATAATTTTTTCTAATCGTTCTAAATATTTTTATAATCGCTTGCGTTACTCGATTAATTTCCGGGAAAATACTTTAGATTGAACTAGATCCAATTAGAATTTTCTTGATCTTTGTAAAGTTCTTCAAATCTATTTGGATAGAAAACTTTTGTGGATAAATATGAAGAGCCCATTTTGTATTTCTTCTTCTTAAACTTTTTTATTTAACTTTTAAATTTAAATTTTCCAACGCAATTTTAAATTACTTATTCAATTCGCGAATAAAATAAACAAGAAATAAAGTTGATAAATATAATTAAAGATTTCCAATTTATTTATTGAGAATTTTTTCAATTTAATCAGTAATTGATTTATCATTTTAAGTAAATGAATCAATTATAACTTTAAAATATTTTCTTTATTAACGTTTCAGCATTGTGAGTTGATAAGAATTTATTGTTCTGTCTATTAACTTTACTAATTAAGATTGTTGTAATCAATCGAAAATGTAAGACTTCCTTTATCCGTTTTCGAGTAAAACTAATTGAAAAAAACAGAAAAACGGTTGGCTCTGAAAGCCATCCCTGCAACTTCCCGCTAATTCCATACCTAAGCGCTGAAAATTGCACTTATGACGTTTTTGAGCTCTTCGAGCTTAAAATTACAATTTATGTGTTATTTTGAGCTTTCCGAGCTCAAAGAGTTAGCTGTTCTATCTTTTTGAGCTCGAAGGGCTCAAAAGCCTGATAGAAGTTAAATAAAACACTATTCTTAAAATTTTCATACTGCACAGAAAAAAAAATGTTCTTGAATCAAGTACATAATTTTGAAGAACTTAATATTCTTGATTTGAGTAGAAAAATTCTTGATTTAAAGAAATTTTACTTGATTCAAGAATTTTTCGTCTTGATTCAAAACAATTATCCTCTTCAAAATTATGTTCTTGGTTCAAGAATTTATCTCTTGAATCAAGTTAATTTTTTTTTCTGTAATGCATGCAATTACACAGTAAAAAATTTTGCGTCATTGTGTCAAAAAATTTAGTGTTAAAAATTTTTGTGTTGCATGATTAACACTTTTATGTGTAAATTTAACATTTATTCTGTTAAATCAACACAAAAAAGTATTAAATATTTAACATAAAAATTTTCAACACTAAATTTTTTGACGCAATGACGCAAAATTTTTTACTGTGTATATTAGAGTGATTTATTTGGGACGGCTATGTATTTTATTCGCTCCATTAACATATGGTTCTATGTAAAGTAAAAAAAAAAAATTTCTTCAAGGTTTATTCCGTAATTATAATATCAACACAAAAAAGTATTAAATATTTAACATAAAAATTTTCAACACTAAATTTTTTGACGCAATGACGCAAAATTTTTTACTGTGTAGGTGAGGGTGGGGCACAACGGCCCACTTAAGCTGATTATTTCTTTTTGTGGTTTCTAACCATTAAATTTGTTTATTTTCTGTCTATTTCGAATAAATCAGTCGAAATTTTGCAGAAAATCGAAAAAAAAAAAATTTTTTTTTTTTATTGGGGCACGACGGGTCATTCCCTCAAAAAAGCACGTAAAAAAAAATTTTTTTTACTGAAGCCATCACCATCAAATTCTGGAGATTCTTCTTCCAGAAAAAGTCGTAAAGAGAAAACCACGATTTTTACGAGTCAAGTATCGCCAAGAACTCAAAGAATAAAAAGATCAAAATGAAGCAAAAAAAAAGGAACTCAGTTAAACAAAAAAAAAAAAGATAAAATAGAGTCAAAACTAAAACATTTAAAAAAAAATGTTTAAAATATAAAAATGATGATTGCCATTGTTTTTATTGCAATTGACTTTGCTCAGAATCCACAGAGTCATGGATTCAGTGAAAAAATTGCAATAAAAAATGATCTCATGATTTTCGCGCAAGTATTGACGATAATGATTCCGACAAATATTTCTGTGATCATTGCGAATAATCATATATCGACGTTCTAATGAGCAAATTGTCTAACTCCACTTTAGAGAATCTTCCATTTGTACGAAAATACAATTAGTTCCAAATTTATTATCACTTTAATAAACCATTTAATATTAGGTATCACTTTAATAAACCATTTAATAAGAGAGGTATAATATTTTGATTAGGATCATTCAAATAATTTATAATTGGACTATTACTATATCAAAATGTTAAAAAATTACCCTCTAAAAAATAAGGAGTCAGACCAATTGCTAATTAGACCGTCGGTATTAAATTACCTCGATGTGATTTCCAAATTATCGAAAATTTATATTTCATGTTTATTCAAAGTTGAATTTTTGTCAACGTTTTTAAAAAACTACTATAAATTTTATTGTTAAGCTGTTAATTAGTTTTAAACAGATAATAATTAATTTCTTTTATTGCACTTAGAGATTTTAAACCTACGTACAAGAAAAAAAACAGAGATGGTATTCAGAAATTAATTGGTTACATTAATTTACATTAATTGAAATCACATGTTGAGCTTTTAAAATACGTAATATCTTGAACCAGATCTTTTTTTTTATACTTTTATCAAGCCAAAATTAGAAATATGAATTGCGTAGAGTAAGACATCCTTGAAGTAACTCATAGGATTTTGAGATTGGGTTTCAGCCTAACGCAGAGGATACCGTGATCAATAATTAATAATATAATTAAATTACTTTTTTAATTTCCAAATAATGTTTTCAATTTTTTACAAGCTATATAATTCAATTTTTCGTTAAATTTTTCAGTTCAACTAAATTTTTTCCTAATCCATTTTACCTCAGATAAATACCATTGATCTGAAAAAGCTTAAAAAAATTAATTCTTTAAATTTCTAACAATTTAAAAAAAAATAATTTTTTCGATACAATTTTTTTTTTCGAGTGGTCCATTATGCCCCACATTTCACATATTGGCCCAAAATATCATAAAAACATCATAGAGGTCATAATTTGACGGAAAATGAAAAAAAAAAATTTTACCTAATTTTAGAGGTTGTGCCGTTGTGCCCCACCCTCACTTAAGCGGTTCACACACACACACACACACACACACACACACACACACACACACACACACACACACACACACACACACACACACACACACACACACACACACACACACACACACACACACACACACACACACACACACACACACACACACACACACACACACACACACACACACACACACACACACACACACACACACACACACACACACA